GAGCCTGAATTCCATTAATGGTGGATAGATCATGCTTTTATGGTGCATTTATCGAGCTCTAACCGTGCCTTTATCGAGCCGTGAAATAAGTCGACGCTCAGGACCCGTCCACAAGTATCCGGATATTTTTGAATCCGCAACTTTCTCTTTCCGGACACAAAAATTTCCACGCCCACAGGTATCCGGGTTCAAATCGAATTTGCCCGTCCACGCGTAACCGGATATTTTTGAATCCGCAAATTTTTCTTTGCTCCGACCGTCTTGAATATTCACGGTAAACAACTTGGTTCAATCTTGTGACGTCAGTTGACAAAAAAATATCCGGATTTAACTTCCACACGAGTCCGGATACATAGAGGATTCAAAATTTTCCGCAACTTTCTCTTTCCGGACACAAAAATTTCCACGCCCACAGGTATCCGGGTTCAAATCGAATTTGCCCGTCCACACGTAACCGGATATTTTTGAATCTGCAAATTTTTCTTTGCTCCGACCGTCTTGAATATTCACGGTAAACAACTTGGTTAATCTTGTGACGTCAGTTGACAAAAAAATATCCGGATTTAACTTCCACACGAGTCCGGATACATAGAGGATTCAAAAATTTCCGCTCTGGAGAGCGGATTCAGAAACAGCGCATTTGTTTCAAGTACGATATGATCTTAATTTTCATTTCAAACTTATACAATTCATGATGGATGGTATCATTATCACACAGTAATCTGCGACGAACGGAAAATACGCTGTTTTTCTTTTCAACTTTTTTTTACTGATCTGACTTAGTGGGATGCTTTTCTTTACATCTCAGTAAAACATTCTTGGCTCCATTATTGTTGCTGATATAAATAAAAGATGAATTCATGTTTTACTGTTATTTGGCAACTACATGGCTCATTAAAACACTCTTCAGTTTCTCCAGCTTCTTGATATCCTGCTAATGTTCCGTCCTGTATTTAAGACATATTCGTCAGTTCCTTTAAGCAGCAAGTTGTCCATTGCAGTGGCGATATTTCATTACAAAGCGAAACTTAATGATTAGGTTCAGCCGAGTGACGCAAAGCTACTCAGCAGCTGCTCAAAATTCATCCCAGGAGTCAAAGTAAACGATAATTTCTTGTTCTCGCGTACAAACCACCATCTTTGAAGAATTCAGTGATTTTTTTGCTAGCCTTCTTTGATCGTTCATGGAGTAGAGTCCGCTACGAAGTTACAATCACTAAGGTATTAGAGTGCCTCTCTCTTCCCGCCTATAAATAGTGCATTTATCCTGCTTAAAAGCGTGCTTAAATGGTGCCATTATCATGCATAAATGGTGCCGTCTTCGTGCTTTAAAAGTGCCTCAAGCCAGAGGCACGATGCACGAAATGACAACGAACGATAATCGAGCCTCGATGCACGGTTATGTATCGTCAAGTTCAATTTTCTGCTTTAAAAATTACGTTCTAACGTTTAAAAAAATGTTTGTTATCCAATAACCATGAACTTTCATCAGTCAATGCAATGTGAAGCTTAGAAGAAACTAGTACATATGCATCTCTAAAATCCTTGTCTATTTCGGTCAATGCAGTTTTATTACAGAGGTAAGTGAGATCAAAACTTTATGATTTTTGTGAAAAAGTAGGGCAAAATGGCGTCTTTTAACTATAGGAGAATCTTTGTTTACATTTTCTGCCTCATTAACATATGCTCATCATTATCTGACGAAGCTAATAAAATAAAACCCCTGAATATTGAAAGAGCGTAACAATTTCAGTTATCTCTGAAAATTTGGGCCCGATATACCGAATGGTTTCAGGGATACTCGAAATTTTACAAAGAGTGTATGGCTCATTAACTTTTTTGCCAACCAACAATTTCGCAGTTTTAGATGGCTGATATTTCCTTGAACATTGCTTTTCATAAGCTGAAAATTGCACAAAATATTTAAGTTAATCAGCTCCTTCAACTTTTGAATTTAGTTCGTATATACGGCCACGGCTTCTTGAGTTACAGTCGTATGCTAACGAGGAAAAATGTAAACAATGACGTCAGCAAAGATTCGCCTATACCACATTTCGTTGACAACGACGTATATCGAAGCTTCATACAAAAGTTATGTACTCGCTGTACTCATGCACATTGATTCCACAGCAACCGCGAAAAAAATCAGGCTTTTATATACTCGTTAGGAGAAACTGTAACAGAGAATGTGGCGTTAGACCATTTTTTTAGTAAAAGGTGTTCACCACACCGTGTGCGTGGCCCATCACCTTTGAAGAAATATTCAGAAAAACATTGACTGTTCAACCGGGTCTTTCGGCAACACTGTCGAGCCCACATTTAACTTATAGTTCCTTATAACAAAATGCTTGTTTCATTTTTATCTCTTCTCATTAAGTCGAATACACTTCTTGCCTTTTGGGCTTTTTGACGATAACACCCCAGAGCATTTCCTTTTATGAAAAAAAAAGTATATATCACCTTGCAGTCCCCATTTCCTCCATTCTGATCTCTAACAACAATTAAGTTTTAGTTTTTCTTATAATATTACAGTACCTTGACGTTAGTGAATAACTACTTGTACAGACAGCTGTTAACGCACTGACGTGCCCTCATTAACATCAAATGAGATTAAATTTGCAGTTCAGTCAAACGAATTTATGCTTGTAAATGGCATATAACATTCGACAAAGAAGGAAATGAATCGGAGCGTGATTGTATCGCCAGCGAGATGCAATGTTTTCCAGAAACGCTCTTCCATCGTAGCGAACATTGTGGTAGAAGGGACCCTCAAAGTCGGGAATCTCCTCTTCAGTTGTAGCCAAACTTTCATTCGGTGGAACACTGTCCGCACGCTTTCCTCTCACAAGTTGAGAGGAAAGGCCCCCCTCACTTTTAGCCATTTGATGAAACATGAAAGCGTCAAGAGACTCCATAAAATGTTCTGAAAATGACATCTTGCCGAAAGCAATAGGGGACCAAGAACTGTCCTTTAACTCTGCAAAATAGCACATAGCTCCCTGTCGTACTAAGCGATCTCCAGCTCGCCACATGTGTGAGCCAGTTGCACCTTGGGAGAATGCTATGACTGGACACGGCAGACACACTGCTATTGGCGGTGTAAACCATACAGTTGGAACTGGAAAAATTTTTCCCAGGATGGCTTGGATTTTCCTTAGAGTCAGGGAAAATTTAGGAATAAACACTCTCTGTGAGAAATTGGGCACCTTGCTTCTCCACTCACTAGTTGTTGGTCTACCGGTCATATCAATCGAACGTCCCATAACAGAAGCTCCAGCAATGTCATTTTCAAAAAATACTGTAAGAGCTGTAAACATCTGAGAGTATTTTAGCGCAGAGAATTTTATGTCTTCTCGGGAAAAGTAGCAAAGTATATCGATGATCAAACTAAGACAGCGTCTCTGATATTCATACCACCCAAACATATCAACCCAGTCATAGTTCTTGTAACTATAGGTATCATCATAAGCAAATTCAATTGCTGGTAACGTAGAGACATCAAGTCCAGAAGCATCTACAAGATAATCCAGATAGCGTGCTTTTCCCTCCCCATCCTTTGTGATAACACAAGAGGAACGCAAGAAGAAAGTGGGCAAACTTAGATCATTAAAACTGCTTAGCAAAGACTCAAGCACTGCTACAACACATTTGTCCACGCAACCTCTTGACTCGCACTTCAAGTTGTAAACATGGTCCAGCATAGCCATTTTGACCTTGTACGTGTCCAGAATGTCTTCAACAAGCAACCATTTCAATAACCTGTAACACCGTCGGTGGGCTTCATCGAGCGACTGAATGAGACGACGTTCTGCCTGAGCAAAGGAGACATGAAAGCACTTGTTGCATTTTGGCGAGCAAGGCTTTGGTACAAGATAACAGCGATGTTGTTTGACCAATTGCAGAAATTCTAAAGGGAAATGTTCATCCTTTCCAATTTCCTCAATAAAGTTGTCAGTGCATCGGACTGATGGCATGATATCAACAGAAATCTCAAACGTACTGCTCACTCCACACCACGACAATTTAAGAACAGACGGACCACGTTTTGAAACAACTGATACAAGATGAAGGATCCCTGAATCCCGTTTAATCTCCTTCTCATCATCTACCATTGTTTCTAATGCTGCTTCCATCATTCCAGAAAAAAGACCACCAAGATTTTCTAGCCATTTGTGACAGCTACTTTCAAATGTCACTTGTACACGACCTGGTCTACACCCTTGATTAATACTAATTTCACCAACGTTTAACTTGATGTTGAAGTCGAACTCCTTAGGAGCACAAATCTTAGTTCCTTCGTAGAAGCTTCCAACAGGAAGAATTTCTTCGATTTTAAACAGCTCTCCATACGTGTATGTTTCACCTTCATCCTTTGAGATGCCTGCTAAGTTGTATATACTTCTCCCATGGTCAACTTTTAGGGCTCTACCCTTCTCAAGGATTGTCGACACCGCTTCACGGACAGCTGACTCTACATCTCTGACTTCTGATACAGGTAGTTTGAAATTGCAACTCGTTTCATGAAGAATATGCAGGAATTTATTTAGGCTCATGACCAGATTTAAATATTCTGAAATAAAATGTATTTAACGTATTACTCACCAAAGTCTTTGATGTCGTTGACTCAGGTTTTCTATACATTTTGGACAACTTTGATGGGTTGAAGTTAATGCAAATCCAGTAAATCCAAGATGTTTCTAACTTGTACATTTCTAGAACCTAATTTGCACAAGACCGCGTCCAAAATACCCTGCCGCATTTTTTGACTGGTTCTAGAATATGTGGAACCCATCAAAGTAAAAAAAAAATTGTCCCACTTTGTCAAATCGGATAATGGTGTAATCATTTATTTTGTGGGTCACAATCGCGCCAAGTGTGTGCATGGTCACTTGTGGAGTTTTGACTTTACACCACAAATAAAAAACCACCTCCTCAACCCTCGGACGTACACGCAAAGTCAAATCCTCACCGTGGTACAAGGGGGTGGGATTGATGGACCC